AAACTGGCATCTGGTGAAAAGGATACACGATTAACTCGCACCTCTGCGAGGAAATCGCGTCTTACTGACAGCTTTTTCGATGCGGTGGTAAGTAAATTTCTATACTCAGAGCTCCACCCGTCCTATTGTTCAGTAGTGAGATTTTCTATTCAGGAGCGACTCGAAGATGCACGTGAAGCGGCGGCTTCAACACGCATGTCACCAATGATGACAAATCGACAACGAGCTTATCTTAGACCAGCTCTTGATCCAGAAAATACCGTAATCGTTTTTCCGGATGATGTTCTAACGCCTATGGGAATTGAAGTGAGCCATTATTTGCGTTTAGATGCGCAGGGATGGGCAAACACATTCATTTTTGCGCTTTTTCGCTAGGACAAATTTGGCTTGGTTTTCCTTGAATATCGCTTAGCTAATTACAAATTTTGCCATGATTCCAGGTTGACCTTCAAAATTGTGGTGCGGATTGCTAGCAATTTGAAACTCCAGCACAAGCCATAATTATAAGTGCTTTTGACTCTTTTTCTTGCATGCAAGTATTCTGCAATCCTTTTCTTTGCTGAATTAGACACAATTTTCGCTTAAGATCTATATTTCTTTCATTTGACTTTGAATATCCCAGAAAGCTTGTCACATACTTTCAGATTTCGAATTCAAGCACATTATGAAAAGATATCTCTGCAACTCAAAATATCTCGTGAAATCTATGTTCGAACCAGCCTCTTTTTGTCAAAAGTGTAGTTAATTTGCAATGAACTATGTTCTATGCTTGCAAAGATCTGGAATTTCTAATTATTCTGCGCCGCCTGGATGCTTTACAAAGTGGTTAAGTTAGTAATTAAAGTAAACTTAGTTTTGGTTGGTTATTATTGAAGTGGAGGTTTAGGTCAAGAAAAGCGTTACTCTGATAATCGCCCTTCCGGCACACTTTGAATTTACTGGGGGGATAGTTAATAGTGCTGTAAGAATATCATAGCAACGCTAAACAGTGGCACTTCCTGAAGAATAACGATAGGTAGAAAACGGATGGATAACTCACAATTTTTCGAAGTAGGTATTATATCCATCTCACATAGAAAGACTATTTTACTCGTTTCCTACCACCTACAGTAAGACATTTTTCGTATGAAATGGATACGGTACTCAACAATCAGCATTTAAATACTCCCGCAAGGCCAGTTCTTAGCCAGATTTGTGACTTTGAACATCTATTGTGTATCAAGTATAACCTTAAAGCAATGATGTGAAGAACGGATATAATATCTGTGATTAGCATACCAAATAATAACAGATGTTTTATTGAAAGCCAAGATTTGAAATGTCAAAATAACGATTGTTGGATTGGCTTTTCTTGTCCTATAAGACCTTCAAGTAATTTTCAAACCAGCTAAAACAATGCCACTTATTTGACATTGCTAACCAACCTATTGTCTGGCAATATATAAACTCCTGCCGGAATTTCTGAAATCGCGTGAATTTACAACCTGATATATGAACGCTAATCTCCATTAATTGCCCTTTTTTGGTGTTCCTCTACCATCTACATCCAGTTTTCTGTTAAATTCTCAGGTTACGGGTGTACAAGATGATCTATCATCGACGCATGGACGTCTATCTGCCGTACAAATACTAAGGATTGAACCCGATGGTCGAGTAGGTTTGGATGGTCGCCTGAAAGTTGGCGACAATATCCTGGAAATCGATTCTCGACCTGTTTATCAGGTAATCTCCTAATGATCTCTAAATAGTATAAGGCTACTTCATTTTTACTATAAAGGATGGAATATAAAGTTTGAGTTGTGTTGTAAATTTTTCTTCGATGTTTTCAGATGTCCATAGTGCGGGCCAGAGCCTACCTCAGTGAGCTGCAATCTCGTTCCGAACCATCATTGACAATAGCCAGACCACCATCGACATTCGCTAACTCAGGGAATGCATTAATGAGGAATGAGCCACCTTCTTCTTCTATTCAAAGCAGACCAATATTGTCGGCATTGCAACAAGCGAACACTCAACATATAGGGCATACGAAAACCGTGGAATTGAGAAAAAGTGGGGAAATTAGTGTTTGCGAAAAGCTTTGCTTTCTGATTAACAGCTGGAAGAGGTTAACACTAGATTTTGCTGCACTCTCCATTTTAATATATTTTTTAGCTCCCACCGGTTTTGGTTTCACTGTAACCGGACGAGAAACCGCGAAAGGGGAACGATTGTTCTACATCGGAACGGTGAAACCAAATGGAGTAGCTTTGGGCCATCTAAGAGCAGGCGATCGCTTACTAGAGGTGGAAATCTTAACCGACTCATTTTCATTTCATTTTATGATGCTACAATTAATATATCCTTTTCAGTTAAATGGCGAGGCAACGGCAGATTTAACCCAAGCTGAAGTGGTTGATCGCCTCAAAAGAGCTGCTGTTGGAGAGACGGTTACATTCTTGGTATCCAGATTAGTGCAACCAGATGAAGAAGAAGAGAAGAAGAGTAATTCGAGCGAAAGGGAAAACCAACCCCCTGCGCAAACGTCAGCTGTAATGAAGCCAGTTCGCGATGAGAAGAAGGTACATAATACGCTTATTGCTTTAATTAGATTATCATCATAATTAGATTGTCATCACATGCGGCTTAGATAACACCGTCAACGTCTAACGCTGTAATGACGCAATGTGTTGGAGATGTGGAAGAGCTGGAACTTGTCATTCCGCTGAATGATACGGGAAGTGCTGGTTTGGGGGTGAGCCTTAAAGCACGGGTAACAGTTCGAACAAATGGGACAAGGCAGGATTGCGGAATTTTCATTAAAAACGTAAGTTTTGTTTTCGACGACCTATTTGTCGCTTGTAAGAGAAGGGATAATTTGTTTCTGATTTAATGGAAATGAGTTAATTGTTGATAGTTCTGATTTTAAGATTTGATATCGTTTAATATGTTTTAAAAAAGCATCAATGAAGAAACTTTTCAATATGTTTAGTGTAACATCAATGCTCATCAAGTTATTGTTTTTATCTAAGTTTCCATTTTTAAGTAGTTTTTTCTGAAGTTTTGAAGGAAACGCCCCTTTTTTCCCATGTCAATCCACATGAAATGTACTTATGTTAGCAAATCTTCCACTTTCTGGACAATCGTACCTCATCTTAATCCTTCCGTTCAGCGTCTAAGAATTGTCGTTGATATATCTCCTCAAGAAAAACACTTTTTAACGTTATTGGGGTAACAAGTCGTTGATATACCATAACATTCTTTCACTCAAATCCACTAGGTTGTGTGAAAGGTCTTGCAAGAAATTTCCAGCATTCTCTTTCGCGCAGCTTCTGCGACTGACTTTAGCACAGAGATTCTTAAATTCTGTACTGCGAGCATTTTCATCGTAAAAATGCTACAGATCTCATGTTTGGTATAGAATAAGAATTTAAGATCTCTGTGCTAACGTCAGCCACAGAAGCTGAAGTTAAGCAGAAAAAAATAAAAAGATTCTGTATGATATTGCTTTTGTGAAGCTAAAGCCAGAAAATAATCTGATGCGCTGCATGTGCGTTAGCTGGCTTGTGTAGAAAGGGTGTTAGAGTTCAGTAATCCTCAAATTCCCAGCAAACCATCTGAAATTTGGAAAAGAACCACAAGGCTCTCCAGATATCCTTATGTATATTTCAGGTTTCTCAAATTTTGGATGCAAACTAAACTTTTTTGTACTAGAATCTTTCGTTTTCTACTCAATTTTCCGCTGATTTTAGGTTTTACATGGTGGCGCTGCACATAAAGATGGTCGACTACGAGTTAATGACCGCATCGTAGGCATAGAAGAACTAAGACTAGATGGTGAAACTAACGCTACAGCTAGTGAAGCAGTTTCAAGAAGACTTAAAGCGATTGGCCCCACGGCTAAGTATGTACGGTAAGTGACATATGCAAGTGCAACTTTATTCATCCGTTCACCGACATTCACTTTTAGGCTTTTCATTCAACGTGCCAAAACACCTCAATTGCCGCGATCCATGTCGCAACCTCAGGAAGTGTCTAGAGTGTCTGTTGATGACCATGATGAGGGGCCATCCAGAATTTCGGTAGTGGCCACAGAATCCACTTCGTCAGAGGAGAAACCATCACCTTTGGATGGTTTAGATTCGGACTTTGGAAGGTAGTTTCTAAAAAATTTAAGTCGTGCACTTTTTTGCTTCCCCCATCTATTTCTTGCTGAACTTCGTTCCAGCTTTAGATTGGATGAGTCTGAACTCGCGAACACATCGGATCCATTCAGCAGAGAGGCACCATCACGAAAGAGTATGAGTGAAAAACGTGGCATGGGCGCTACCTCTGATCCGCATCATATTAAGCTGTTCCAAGACATTAAACATCAGCGACAAACAAGTGGTAATTAGATTTACAGAAGGTTTCCAAAATATGTGCTTTGATTTTCTAGAATGCTTTCTAATCCTTACTTTTGTGCATTTCGAGTGCACTAACTGTAGCCTATAATTCAGTTTTTCTTTGGTTCTTTGAGTTTTTGTTTCTTTACGATTTCAAATAGTTTATGGCTGTAGTCCATACTATTAAAGGAGCCCCTTTGCTCGTTTCCTTTGTTCGAAATCTTCATTTTTCCGCTATCGCTGCTCACGCTCTGTTTCCACTTACGATTTCGTT